CCTGAACTATAAATAGAGAAGTATTCTTTGCTTACTCACCACTCATATTGGCAGTAATATAAAACACAAAGATTTCAGAATGCATTTTTCAGCTTTCACATTTCAATTATTAGCTTATACTCAGACTTCTCACACAAACACTCAATGCTACTAGCAGTCTAACTGCTGGCTCGTTGTTTGCAGGGGAAGCAAACAGCGGGGTGAGGTGGCTGTCACCTGGAAATTAAGATGCTTCTCTCTATCCAAATATCCAATTTGCATGCAGTATTTTCTGCAAACCAGCTAACAAGGAATCTCCACCTGTCTCAGCAGAACACACAAACTCGTATGGTAGAAACAAACATTGCATAATCACTGATCATGTTGTAATACAAATGTCCAATGCACTTCATAGCTTGGGGATTTCTGTCTTCCTGTGCTTGCAGATGAGCTGCTTCCACAGGTGTTTGGTAAATTGCAACCCAGAAAAACACCTAGAAAGAAACATATGGAATATAGATGATATGAAGGGGTCCTCCTGAATGATTAATGCGATTACTAATAAATCAAAATACATGGAAATTTGTCAGCATGACGAGCACCTGTCTGAAAACAGAACATTAAATGACTCTTACCAGCTAGCACAAGTTTTGATATCAGTATTTCTTGAGCTCTAGTGCCACCTACTGGAAGACAAAAGTCTTTTCTTGTCTTGTATCAGATTGGTTGTCAAACAGAGAGATGAGACAATCTTTAAAGTCGAGGTATCTCTTGCAGGCTTCATTTACCTTGGAGACAGCGAGACGAGACAACAAATTCTGCGAGCACTTATAGTGATACTATACAATGAGATACGGCCGATATTGTAAATATTACAGCCTGCTGCTATTTACAAAAGGCTTTAAGTCACTCCAAGAACCTCCCATTCCTGTACTGGATCATAATCACAAAACAGTGTTGGTTAGAATACAGGTGCAAGAAACTCTGTGCGATGAGATGACAAGACAGTGAGGAGGTTTTTGTATTGAGTGTCAGTGATATGTAGCACTGTGGTATCTAGCAGCGCAGAAGTACACTGCACTGCTGTTCATGAAGAGATCTTTAATTGTCAGTGTGCAGGTCTTGTCTTTATCTGCACTCCCATCCATTGTCACAGTCACTCCAGGCTCTGGAAATTGGGTTGTTCCCAACATGTATCCCAGGAGCTGCAGTTGGCTGTTTGTTTGCTTGTACCAGAGGATTATATTATAGTTGTCTATACTGTGTGAACAGGTGATTTGTGCTGTTTGTCCTTGTTCTTTATACATATCAGCTGGATCCTGGTGGACTCGGTCACTGAGTGAGGAACCTGTAAAAATGAATAATCAGAAACCTCACATCAATATAAAATATAGAACGAGAGTAAATCTTGAAAAATAAAAAAGTTAACGAGTGCATTACCTGACACCAGGATAATGTTAAAGCTTATGCAGAAGAAAGATATTATCATGTTGTGTTGCATAACTAAACTGAAGAACAGAGCTGTTAAGTTGTCTATGCTTTCATAACTGTATATTCAGTTCTGCTGATTATTCATAGGCCATTTCTTGGTAAACCCCTCCCATGAGGAAATACAGTGGTGTTACTGTGTGTTCTGAGGAACCACTACCCTACAGACGTACTGCCAGATTATGAAAGGACTTGGTTCTAAATTGAAGTTTTCTTTATGACCTATATTTTCAAATATATTCTCTGGGCATTTTATGTGATACTGCTGGGTTCCTATGAACCCTATAATGTCATTTTCTAACCCACTAAGTTTTTGAGTTATATTCACTTTCTTGAAAATTTACATTTTTCTCAAACCACACTTAAGGTCATGAGCTGTGGGTAGTGATTGAACGGTATTTACCTTAAAGAAAACTTCAATTTTGTTTTTCTGCATTATGCAGGTCACCAAGTAAACCTTTAATATTGTAATGCCAACAAAGTTCCAGCAACTGCCACATTTTTATTGGAAGATTTAAAAACATCCAAAGGCCACAAAAGACCACCAAAGTTTGCACAAGATGCATCAACGTTTTTTGATTTTAAATTTTATTAGAAGTAAATCCATCAAAGCCAGTGAAATCAGTGGCAAAGCTGGCAAATATGAACCACTTTTTTCTATAGTTTGTCAAAAATCTGTGTTGAGATGGGACCTGTTGAGAACCATCTGCAAGCAGTGCCTGTGCTGTTAATAAGAACGCCATGATCAGTGGTGTGTAGATAAATCGAGTTGAACTAAAATGGAATATTCACCCATATCTAAGCACATAAGAATATCATTAGTCAGTGCCACGGTTTTTTGGTAAATCATGCAACCTCTTTAATGAATATTTAATAGAAAATGCTAATTACAACTTTGTAAAGCCCGCAGGGATAAGACCATTTATTTTGATTAGTGAGATGCAAAGATTAATTTCCCTGTACCACTAAAAGAAACTTAAACTTGGGAGATTTCCTAGTTAGTTCCTTTCTGCGTGATGTAATCCTTGTGTTTTAATTCCTGATATGCTCATATTTTCATCATCGACAAAAGAGCTGTTGCTTTTAACTTTTATTGTATATTAAATGTGTTATTAGTGGGATATAATTAGAATGAACCAACAATAACATCACAGTTGAAAACAGAAACCACAAAAGCAGGTGTCTGAGATCAGTTTATTCCCTATACTTGTGTAAACCACTGATTAAAGGCTGTGTAGTTTTTGTAGTGTTCAGAGGAGCTTTTTGTCACTGTGCTTGTCTAGCTGCACAGTAGTACTGTGCTCTTTTTGTGCACCTTTGACTATCAGAGAGACGTTCTTTGCTGTATTCCCACTTAAATCTCCTGTGATATTGAAATTATCTTTATATTGTTCTTCATATTTGTCATCTTTGAAGTACAAATGCCCAATGAGTTTCATAGCTGTGTCTCCAGGGTGCTGCTGGTACCAGAGAATCACCCTGTAGTCAGTCTTTTCATGGCTACAGAAAATCTCCACTTTGGATCCAACTTTTGTGATGAACTCAGACGGAGACTGACGGACCTCAATACCCAGACAGACACCTGGATAAAGAATGAAAACAAATTCAATTGAAATCATAACATAATGCCACATTTATTGAAACCGTCCATGTTCAGATAACCTTGTAGTAAGTAAAGAAGTTATTACCTGTTAGGCAACAGAAAAAGAGAAAATTAATCATGTTCACATTCCTTTGATAACTTCAAACTATATGAGCCTAAGAGTTGTAGGATTTTAAATTGCTGGGATGTGACTTCAGATCAACTGTGTGACCACATTGAACTAAGACCTAAAAGGAAAGTGAAGCGAACACTATGCTGGCTGGTAGGAGGAGTATAAACAGTTCAAACCCATCAAAATAAATGTTTTGGGGTTTTTTCAGTTTTTGTATTAAGGGGAGGGGTTTTCCTCTGTGTCCATAGTTTGCTGCACTGTAGTACAAGGCAGTGTGCTCAGGTGCCTGTAGGTCTGCTATAAACACAGAAGAATTCTTTGCTTTCCTCAAATCACCATTAATATTAAAGTAAATCTTCATACTCATGTTAAACTCACACAGAGGAGAGAAAGCTTAACATACCCCCACACACTCTCTTATGGTAGAAGCAAACATCACATCATTGTTTATTATGAAAATCTTTGTTAAATAAATAAATAATTTTTTATTTATATAGCACCTTTTCAAGACTGAATCACAAAGTGCTGCAAGTCATAAAAAGACTTAAAAAGAGAGAATAAAACGGGCAAAAAATTAACCAAAAGCAGTTTTAAAAAGGTGAGTTTTGAGCTGTTTTTTAAAAACTGCTACTGAGTCCGCAGTTCTTAATGCTTGGGGGAGAGAGTTCCACAGTCTAGGGGCCACAGTGGCAAAAGCTCTGTCACCCTTAGTCCTCCTCTTAGTATTTTTTATAGCAAGTAAGCCCTGATCAGATGACCTCAAAGACCTGCTAGGGACATAAGGCTGTAGCAGATCAAAGATGTAGGCAGGTGCCAGTCCGTGCACAGCTCTGTAGGTCAAGACCAGGATCTTAAAATCGACTCTAAATTTAACAGGAAGCCAGTGTAACTGAGATAATAACGGTGTCACATGTGAGTACTTGGAGGATTTTGTCAAAAGCCTAGCTGCAGCGTTTTGCACAAGCTGCAGACGATCCAGAGAACCTTTGCTTAGACACATAAACAGCGAATTACAATAATCCAAGCATGATGAAATAAATGCATGTATAGCAATCTCGAGTTCAGAGCGAGATAAAAGCCTAGCCACATTTCTTAAATGATAAAAACAAGACCGAACTAGAGATTTCACATGCCCGTCCAATGTGAGACTCGAGTCAAAGGTGACACCTAAATTCCTGATAGAGGATTTAACATAAAGTGAGAGAGGGCCAAGGGCTTTCACTATCTGCGATAGAAACCTATCAGGGGTGCATACGAGGACTTCGGTTTTCCCCTCGTTGAGTTGGTGTAATGCAAATGTCCAGTGCACTTAATAGCTTGGTCTCCAGGGAATTTCTGCCTTTCTGTAGTTGCAGATGAGCTGCACTGAACTTCCAGTTTGAATTTAGGCGACAGACACTCTCTCCACTTTTAAGATTTGGCTCAAAACTTTTCTTTTTCATAAAGCATATAGTTTGGAGGTTTGTCTTTACCACTGTCACTGAAGCGCTGTTGGGGTTTTTCTCAGTTTATGTTTTTGTTTTGTTTTTATTATTCTTATTTTGTTATTTTTATTCTTACAATATAAAACACCTCTGGGAAACTGTTGTTGTGATTTGGCGCTATATCAAATAATTGAATTAAATGAAACTGAATATTGTTGGCATGATGAGCTCCTGTCTGAACATGTCTGACATTTACCAACTACTGCAGGTGTTGATCGGTATTTCTTGAGCTCCAACGCCACCTACAGGAGGAGATGAAAGTAATTTCTAATATCAGATTAATTGTTGAGCAGTTTTTGTACAGCTTCTCCTACTTCTCACATCACTGTGTTTACTCACAGCACAAAAATACACACCAGTGTCATTCTGCTGCAAGTGATTCACAGTTAGAGCCCCGTTCTCAATGGCTTCTTTGCTGGCTGAATATTTATTCTCAGGGGCTCCACCATAGTCCGGCTTCCCACCAAACACTGTGTAGACAATGAGCCTCATGGTCTCTCCTGGTCTTTGAATATACCAGTACATCTGGTTGTGGCCCTTATCTTTGTTGTGGCTGCAGTTCATGTGTGCAGCTTTGTTAACATAACTCCATCTGATTTCAGGTTGTTGAAACACATCCTGGGATTGACCTGTAAGAAAAAAATATAATTTAATTCAATAAACAAAATGTTTAGGCGTTAGATGGTGACAAGAAATCTTTAAAGTCCAGGTATCTCTTGAGCGGTCTATGTACCTTGGAGCCAGAGAGATGAGACAAAAAATACAATGAGGGCTTGAGCAATCATAGTGATGCTCTACAATGAGATGAAGCTGACACTGTAAATATTAAAGCCTGCTGCTATTTGTAATGGTAGGTGGAGGTTATAGGTTTTAATTCTCTCTAAGGACCTCCCATTCCACTACCGGATTATAATCACAAGACCTATGTTGGTTAGAATACAGGTGCAAGTGTCTGTGAGCTGTAAGAGATAAAAACTGGCAATTGGAAGGTTTTTGTATTGAGTATCAGTGACATGTAGCACTGTGGTATCTAGCAGCGCAGAAGTACACTGCACTGCTGTTCATGAAGACATCTTTAATTGTCAGTGTGCAGGTCTTGTCTTTATTTGCATTCCCAGCAATTGTCACAGTCACTCCAGGCTCTACAGATGGGCTTGTTGCAAACATGTATCCCAGGAACTGCAGTTGGCCGGTTTTTGTTTGCTTGTACCAGAGGATTTGATTATAGGTGTCTATACTGTGTGAACAGGTGATCTCAGCTGTTTCTTCTGGATTTTTATACATATCAGCTGGATTCTGGTGGACTTGGTCACTGAGTGTGGAACCTGTAAAAATGAATAATCAGCAACCTCACATATATAAAATACATATAAAATATAAAATATATAAAATATAGAATCAGAGTAAATCCTGAAAAAGTGAAAAGTTAACAAGAGTTCATTACCTGACACCAGGATAATGTTAAAGCTTATGCAGAAGAAAGTGATTATCATGTTGTGTTGCATAATTAAACTCAGGAACAGAGCTGGTATGTCTTCCTTGCTTTCATAACTGTATATTCAGTTCTGCTGATTATTCATACACCATTTCTTTAAAACCCTCCCACCAGGAAATTGGGTGGTGTTGCAGTGGATTCTGAAGAGCCACTAAACTACAGGCATACTGTCAGCTTATCAAAGGACTTAAAATGGTATCTTTTACTTTGAGTTACACATTTTCAATCTTTGCCAGAACCTTTCTATGAACTTTCAAGTAAACATACTGTATAGGGACAGTATAAGGTATTTCTAAACGTTTTGGCTATATTCACTTTTAAAAAAGGTAAATTTTTTCTCTAGCCACACTTATGGCCATGAGCTCTGGGAAGTGAGTGAAATTTATTTGTCTTAAAGAAAAAGATTCTTATGTTTTGCAATATGTTTTTTGCCTTCCTCACTTTCATCTGTATGTCATTCGTCCTCATATTGAAATGTTTCATTGAGAAGCTACCAAATACAAGTTCAACACTAAGTGTTAAACTCTTAACACTGCTTAATCTTTCATGGAATAATTAGGCAACAGGCTCACATGGTCATAAAAATGTTTGCTGGTCAATTGTTCAAATACTTTTTAACCTCTGAAAATTGGGAGCTTTTTATAAGTCTAAAAAGGTGAATGCAGTGTTACCCACTGAATCAGTCAGACATCTTGTTTGTATTAAAATCCACTGTGTTGGTTTACAGAGACACAATTACAAAAATCCAGTCATTGTCCAAATACGTATGGACATGTAGATTTCAGCTGCAACTAATTTTTTTTTTTATATATATAAATATTCAGTTTAGCTCTTTGTATACCATTATTTTTTACATGAATCATCCACATGATATCTTGCTTTTGACATATTATTATGTATTAAATATGTTATCAGTGTGGCATCATTAGAACAAAATTATATAAAAATCAAAAACCAAAACCACAAAAGCAGGTGTTCTAGATCAGTTTATTCCTTTTCTTGTGTCAAACCACTTGTGATTTCGGGCTGTGGAGTTTTTGTAGTGTTCAGAGGAGCTTTTTGTCACTGTGTTTCTCTAGCTGCACAGTAGTACACTGCACTGTGCTCTTTTTGTACAACTTTGACTATCAACGAGCCATTTTTTGCTGTATTCCCACCCAGATCTCCTGTGATACTGAAATTATCGTTATTTTGGTCTTCAAATGTGACAGCATTGAAGTTTAAAAACCCAATGAGTTTCATAGCTGTCTCTCCGGGTGGCTGCTGGTACCAGAGCATCATCCTGTAGTCAGTCTTTTCATGACTGCAAAAAATCTGCACTTTGGATCCGACATCAGTGATGACCCCAGAGGGAAACTGACGAACCTCAATACCCAGACAGACACCTGAATACAGGGAAAAAAACAAAAACATTTTGTTTAAATCATAAACATTGACACTTTTAGATAATTTTATGTTATGCAAACAAGTTATTACCTGTCAGACACCAGAAGACAAGAAAGGGAATCATCTTTCTATTCCTTTGATTTGTTTTAGAGTTTACTTTTTAATTACTGGGATTCGACTGACTGAGGTTTAAGAGGAAAGTGAAGTGAAAATTATACTGGCAGCATTTAACAACAAGGTGGGGCGAGTGCATTCAGTTTAAAACCATTCGCTTTATTGGGTTTGAGTTTTGGTATTACAGGGAGGGGTTTTCCTCTCAGTGTGCAAAGCTTGCTGCACTGTGCTCAGGAGGCCTTTAGGTCCACTATAAACAGAGAAGCTTTCTTTGGTTTCTCTCCACTTAAATCTCCACTAATATTAAAATGTGTCTTAAACGATTCCTCGTGCTCTTTGTTGTTGTAATATAAATGTCCAATGCGTTTCAGAGCCTGGTCTCCAGGGGATTTCTGGTACCACTGCATGAGTGGGTAGTCGGTCTTTTCATGGCTGCAGACCAGCTGCACTTTTTCTCCAGGTCTTCTGAAAACTTCCAAAGGTGTTTGGGAAACTTCAACACCCAGACAAACACCTAGAAAGACAAAAAATGAATAATCTACATGGATACCATAAATAATATAAAATGGGAATGGTGAATGTGATTACAAGTGAGCCAAAATAATCGGCATGATGAGCTTTTATCACAGAGTGACTTGAACACTTAACCATGCACACTTTTACTGACGCCCTCCTCTTGAAACCAGCTGCTAAAGGTTTTGATGTCAGTATTTCTTGAGCTTCATCGCCACCTACTGGAGGACATAAAAGTCCATCTCTAATATCAGATTAATTGTTGAGCAGTTTTTGTACAGCTTCTTTTACTTCTCACATCACTGTGTTTGCTGACAGCGCAAAAATACACACCAGTGTCATTCTGCTGCAAATGATTCACAGTTAGAGCGCCGTTCTCAATGGTTTTTCTACTGGCTGAATATTTAATCTCAAGGGCTCCACCATAGTCCGGCTTCCCACCAAACACTGTGTAGACGATGAGCCTCATGGTCTCTCCTGGTCGTTGAATATACCAGTACATCTGGAGGTGGCCCTTATCTTTGTTGTGGCTGCAGTTCATGTGTGCAGCTTTGTTAACATAATTGATTTCAGGTTGTTGAAACACATCTTCGGATTGACCTGTAAGAATAAAATACAATTTGATAATAATAATTTTCTGATTAAAAGAAAGAAGGCCCTCTTTTATCACATATCTTAAAATGTTCATGTACCTGAAGCCACAGGGATTAGACTAAAAATATGGTGACTACTTTAGCAATCATTGTTATATTCTACAATGAGATACAGGTAACACTGTCAGTAAGAAGCCTGTATAATGATAGGTAGCAATTAAAAGCTTTACTTCACATTAAGGACCTCCCATTTTAAATGTTTCGTTCTAACCAGAAGACCAATGTTGGTTAGGATACAGGTGCAAGGGGCTGTGGGCTGTAAGGGAGAAACTGCCAATTGCAAGGTTTTTGTATTGTGACTCAGTGATATGTAGCACTGTGGTAACTAGCTGCACAGAAATACACTGCACTGCTATTGAAGTCGAGTCTTTTAATTGTTAATGTGCAGGTCTGGTCTTTATTTGCACTCCCATCTATTGACACGTTAAAGCCGGTCTCTGGAAGTCCTCTGTTTGCTACCATGTACCCCAGGAGCTGCAGCTGGCTATTTGATTGCTTGTACCAGAGGATTCGGTTGTGGTTGTCGTCGATACTCTGCAAACATTGAATTTTGGCTATATCTTCAGATGTTTTGTACATGTCAGCTGGTTCCTGGTGGACGCGGTCGCTAGGAGAGAGACCTGTTAAAAAAAAAATCGGAAAAGAAAATACACAAGACTTAATTCAATGCAATAAGTTAAAATACTGTGGTTTTAGCATGTTTAGAGAATTGCTTTATTAGTCAAAAATACTAATATATTTTATAAATTTCAAAAATGTCATTACCTGAAACCAGTATGGTGTTAAAAATAGTGCTTAGCAATAAGAAAAACATTTTGTGTTTTCTAAATGTTAGTTGAAAAATAAGAGACTACAGTGTTGTTCTTATAGTCTTTTTATCCGTCAGTTCATAAACATTTATACTGGTAATTTCCAGCCTCCTTCAAGTCAAACTGCCTATCAGCACACAGACATGAACTCATGAAATGGGTGGGCTCGGATAAACCTCCTCTTAATGTTACAATCAAGTCAGCTACTGTGGGGCTGTACTGCCACCTTATGAAAGGAAACAATATAACTGCCTTTAAGCTTGCCTGTCATGGAGTTTCATGCAGACATGGAAACCACTATGATAAGGTTTTTGTATTGAGTATCGGTGATATGTAGCACTGTGGTATCTAGCAGCACAGAAGTACACGGCACCACTGTTCACGGTGAGATGTTTAACAGTTAATGTGCAGGTCTTGTCTTTATCTGCACTCCCAGTTATTGACACGTTCACTCCGGTCTCTACATTTGCCATGCTTGTGTACAAGCGTCCCAGGAACTGTAGCTGCTTGTTCTTTAACTGCTTGTACCAAAGGATTTGATCATAGCTGTCTATTCTGTGTGAACAGTAGATTTCGGCTGTATCTGTGGAATTTATATAAATGTCAGCTGGTCTCTGGTGGACTTTGTCACTGAGAGAGGAGCCTGTGGGGAAAGAAACAAGAAAGAATCAGACCAAAAACGGACATGAGCATTGAGGCTGCCAAGATGCAAAGCCAAATTTAAAAACCAATTTTAAAAATTGAATGAAGTAATACTTAAACTGCACATTTACAAGATTATAGTAAACACTGGTACGTTTAATACCTGAAACCAGAAAACATTTTAAAATAATGGAAAGAAATAAGATGATCATTTTGACTCCTGAATTAGAGGCAATCAGATACAGCAAATTGTAGCAGTTGCAATATTTATAACCTCCTGTCTGAGTAAGCCTTCCCCAGCAATTTTGTGGGTGGTGTCAATATGCATCCTCCTCCACCTAAACATATGCTTTACATTCGCAATACAAATGAATATATTCCAGATATTGCGAAACAGGTGCATGGGCTTGTGAGCTGTGACATAGAGATCAAATAAAATATGATTGAGAGGTTTTTGTATTGTGGATCAGTGATATGTAGCACTGTGGAATCTAGCAGCACAGAAGTACACAGCACTGCTGTTCAGGGTGAGATCTTTAATAGTCAACGTGCAGGTCTGGTCTTTATTTGCATTTCCAATTATTGTCACATTTGCCCCAGTCTCTGGTCTTCCTAGGTTTCCTACTATGTACCCCAGGTACTGTAGATGGCCTTTTATTTGCTTGTACCAGAGGATTCGATCATAGTTGTCTATACTGTGTGAACAGGTGATGTCTGCTCTTTGTCCTTGTTCTTTATACATATCAGCTGGATTCTGGTAAACCTGGTCACTGAGTGAGGAACCTGTGAAACAAAAAATGTTAACAGAAAATGTAAAACATAGTAACATGAGAGAGAATCTTCAAAAAATGGAAAAGTAAAAAGAGCTCATTACCTGACACCAGGATCATTTTAAAGCTCATACAGAACAAAAAGATGATCATTTTTGGTTGCACACAGATTAATGGATTTATGTTGCCTGCGTTATTGCTTCTTTACTTTCGTAGCTGTAGCTTCTGTAACACTGATATCTCATATCTGAATTAACCCCTCCCTTTTGGAAATCAACTTCTTTTAGGTGGGCAATGTATTCTTAACAGCCACAACCTGTTGACATACTGCCACCTAATGACAGGACTCAAAATAACAACAACCCAGAAACACCTGGTGTAGTAGATTGCTATTTTTCAGCACCTGCTAGAAAGCTGATGGCAAAGCTTTGTAAGCTCTCCAATAGTGTTTCTAAATTTTCTATTACAATTTTCTCTTCTTTCTTTGTGAGTGGAGGCCTGAACAGTAGAACGATATGGCAAAAGGTTCTGAAATTTGCGACAGTGTTTGACTTTTTTCACCAAGTTTCATGCATAAACCTCAAGTAACACCAATGAGTCAAAGTTATACATCTTTGAGCCATATGCATACATTTTAAACATGCATCAAAGTAGTTGCCATATATCATTTTCCACCATATTGCATTTTTCACCATATACAGTCTTGTTTTGAAAAGGTACATTTTTTTTTAGTATCCACAAAGATTTGTGTCATTTTAATAACTGTGATGTACAGTATAAAAACACACCATTAACTTTTGAAATGTTTGGCCTAAAGAAAATCATTCTTGTACCTGGTAATACACAAATCCCAAGACCAAAAAGTGATAACCTACAGCAACACTTATAACAATAAATAAATATAAATATTAAATATATGTTAAGTACAGTCATCAGCATATAACCTGCTACTAAATGTATCATCTATCACTTTTGCTGTTGTAGCACATTAGAGTCCTCAAACAGTGCACATTGTGGAGAGGGAGTTTTTGTATTGAAGCGCAGTGATAAGTAGTACTGTGGTAACGAGCAGCGCAGAAGTACACCGCACTGCTGCTCACTGTGAGATCTGCGATTGTTAATGTGCAGGTTTCGTCTTTATTTGCATTCCCAGCCATTGTCACATTAACTCCAGGCTCTGGGTTTCTTAGGTTTTCAAACATGTATCCCAGGAAATGAAGCTGTTTGCTTTTTGTTTGCTTGTACCAGAGAATTCGATCATAGCCATCTACACTGTGCGAACAGTTGATTGTGGCCGTTTGTCCCTGATTTTGGAACATATCAGCTGGGGTCTGGTGGACTTGGTCACTGAGTGAGGAACCTACGGGAAATGGATCATAATTAACCATAATTAACCATTGCAGTACTGAAACAATGGAAATACATGAATACATGGAAAAGTAAAACCAATCTTAATTATCAAGACATATAGAAAGTCAGTTACCTGAAACCTGTATGACATTAAAGATTATACAGAAGACAGGTGTCATCATTTTGTCTTTCATACTTTCATTTAAGAAGATCCTTGTAACGCCTTCTGTGTGTATGAAGTTCTGATTTCTTATGCGAGTTTAACCGTCCCATGGGTGGGGTGACGGGTTAGTTCATTACGTGGTGCCATAATGCACTCTTCTCTTCCTGAACTGTCACTATACTAAAGTTCTGCTGCTACCTGTAGAAGTAGTCAAAGTAACGTAATACTTGACCTGAACTAAACTCCCAAACCTTGGTTATCCAGTAGAATATTTATATTTTTCATCTATGTTCCTAAGCTCTCTGATTAGCTGTTTAAAGGAAGTTAGCAGGTCGGATAGAAAGTTAAGAGACGGGGTATCTAACATCTTGTTGTAGGATACGTGGAAAAGAATGGGTGGGTGTGTGGATGCCAATCATTCTGTCTGGATTCAGAGAAACGCCCTGGACAGGTCACCAGTCTGTCACAGGACTAACGCAGAGAAACAGATAACCGTTCATAGTCACATTCGCACCTATGGGCAATTTAGAACCCCGAGTTAACATAGCCCTGCTAATTGCATGTCTTTGGACTGTGGGAGAAAGCACGAGTACCTGGGGGGAATGTGGACTTTTCATGTTTTCCCCATGTGTTGGCATAAGTTAATTTAAGTGAGCAGAGTGACGAGTACAGATGACCATTTTAATGGACAGTACCTCTAATTAAGAACAGAGCTAAAGAGGGCTTGATCAGACCAATTGTGATCAATAATTGTGCTCTGATAAACCTAAATTTAAGAAACAAGCCTGTGTGTGTGTGAGCTGTGATTTGGGAAGTTGAAGACCTTCATATGATCCTCTGATCTGTAGTTGTACTTGAGGTCCCCCTACAGTACAGGGAATAATTGCAACACTCGTGCCAACCATTCAGTGGGGTTTTTGTTCAGCTTTCACATGAGTCTGTATCACTGTGCTCACTGACAGCACAGAAATACCAGCCGCTGTCTTTTGGCTCCAGGTTCTTCACTGTAAATGTCCCATCATGAACCTCAGTCTTTGTGGCTGAGTATTTCTCTTTGCTGAATTTTCCAAAGTCGTGATCGGATTTTTTGACTGTTGTTGTGAACACAATCAGTTCCATATTTTCTCCTGGCAGCTGTCTGTACCAGTACATCTGGATATAGTTAGCATCCTTGGTATGGCTGCAGTCCATTGTTGCATTATTACCCTGTTGTTCCCACAGCATGGGTGTTTGTCTGACATCCTTGGCATCAGTTAGACCTGTGTGTGTAGAAGAATTCGGTTAATAATGAACATTTAGTATAAAACTTTAAACCATAATCGCTTGTTTCTGCCATCTCTAAAATAAGAAACACCATAAATGAGATTTTACTCAACTCACCTTTGATCCAAAGCAGAAATATCAAAAAGCTGAGGTGACCATATACAAAAATGTCCATGTTGTAGACGATAGGAACACATGAATAAATGACAGTTTGAATTTATGTTGATATCAAGAGTTTCAGGTGGGCGTGTCACTGCTTTGTGGGGAGCTCTGTGATCCTGTTATCTTCGGTTTCACCACTGACAGTTGTATTTGTGGTACTTGACATCCCCCTGCAGTCCATGATGTTTCTGTGTCTCTATGTTAGCCCTGCCACAGCATGACAACCTGTCCAGTGTGTGCCCCACCTCTCATCCTGTGACCCGGAATAGGATAAGTACAACAGAACGGATTAATGGAAAAAGTTCATTGGGAAACAGCTGATACACACAGCAAATGGATGAAACAATATGAGGAGGGATTGTTTAACCATTATGTCCATGCTGTTTCAGATGGTTTCATGAAGTACAACTGTTGATTACCACTTTTAATGATACTAGATAAAGGCTAAAGAAGACAGATTACAAGAGGCTTTGCATTTTTATGATCGTTGTTTCAACATTTATATGGCTGACTGTGAAAATCTTGACAGAAAAATGGGTACGGCTTGATTGCAGGAAGCAAAATTATGTGTCTGGCTTTATTCATAGATTAACATTAATGCTCTAATTCTTCCAGCGATTGAAGCAACTATTAATATTTGAAAAGAGCCAGCAATATGATTTCAAAGGGGATGAAAATTAGCTTGAAACCTTTAGCCTTTAGTAAGGCTAGATTCAGTTGCATACTGGCTGCAGGTGTTCAGATATTAATCTCTCTGCAGAGACATTAAGAGGTTTTTGTATTGCCTTTAGTGGAATCTGTAGTACCGTGCTGGCAGCACAGAAATACACAGCACTGTCAGTCACTGACACATTAGAAATGGTCAGGTTTGAATGTTTTCTGCCATCTCCATTAAAGCTGATTTTCCCTTTCACATCATCCTCAGGGTTTGGGGAGTTTACATTTAGGTATCCGAGGAACTTTAGAGCTCTGTGTTTGTCTTGTTTATACCAGAGAATCCTATTAAAAGACGACACACTGTGTGAACAGTGGATCTCACTGGATACAGATTGACCAACTTTCTTAATGATGGAAGGAGGTGTTTGCTGGACCATGTAGGTGCTAGAAACTCCTGTTGGGGGGGGAAAAGAAAAACATGTGATTTTTAAAAGGTGAAATTACCAGATGAGGGGAATTTTTCTCATGTTAGAATACTCACCATACTTCCCTATGAGCTGAAAGAAATAGATAAAGAAGACTGTGGACATCATGTTGAATATAGACCCTTCCTTTGCTGTCCTGTGGAGTTCATCACAGTTAAAATATGACAGATGTGAAACCAAAGCTTTCACTTTATCAGTATGCTATATAGATACTGTGGCATTTGGGCGTATGCAAAATGTTTGTGACATTAGTTTATTTGCTGACATTTGTCTCCCCCTGTGGGTGTGAAATATATCATCTTTGTCATCAGCGAATACAGATTTTTACAAAGTGGGACTCTCTTTGAGTGAAATATGTTTTGCTTGTTTTATTTTGCTTTTTTTAACATAATGGTTGG